GCATCTTCGAAAGGACACCATCGACCAGCACTACGAAAACTCTTTAACGGGGGCAGTCTCTTGCCAGAAGCGACGGAAGAAGTCGAAGAACTCAGCAGAAGTGCTGACCTTGTACCTGACACATCCACTTCTCCCAGTTGAAATCGAAGTCGGGGTCTATTACGGTGTCGGATTGATAGGCCTGAGATGGTCCTTCCTAAACGTCTTTCTCGACTCATTAAAATGCTCCTTAGCACTGTGTATGTCTGGACGATCGTTCTCCTTAGTTCGTGGAGAAGATCTTAAATGAAGTGCTTTTCCTGACCACCAACAGGAGGTCCACGAACCCCAACCCCGAAGCCCTTCACTACCGTCCTTCCAAACACACACCAGCAAGGGCTCCACCTTCCTTGGAGTAACATAGCATCTACCACAACAGACGAGATCAACCCCAGTACAGGTAAGGGAAACGAACCTACCTCTTCTGATCATCGAATAGATGACGACAGAAGACCTTATGGTCCGGCTCAGGGGCGGGCTCCTCTTCCCCTTGCATGATATCAAGGATAGCCATGCCATCTTGACCGTATCTGAGGCAGGTACCGATAGACTCGATCTAATACAACCTAGAGCGGCTACAGTCGATAAACTGCCTTCCTCGACGGAATGCCTTGTTTCTCGAAATCTTGTGACAGTTTCATTCGAGGCTGATCGTTCAGCTCGACCAACTTGTACCTGATCACAACACCCATTGTTCCTCCCCAATAAGAAGGAAGAGTCGATGGAGCACAGCAGTCGACCAAGACAGTTGTTGCTATCGGACAGACCAACATCGCCCCTCCCCCCAGCTTACACCATGCCCAGTGCTGGCTGAGCTTGGCAAGTGACCAAATTAGTGCCAATACCGAAGGAGTCGATAGAGTGCGGCTGGTCATGCAACGAGAGCAGGACCGCCTCGTTGATGTCATTGGAGGCGACTATACGAGCTGACATAGACAGTCTACAGGTAAGTGAAGCTCATTAATCGACTCACATCTGGCAATGAACTGGAATCCCTCATTAGCAAAAACTTCAGCAGTCGTTGAAAACACTTCCCGAGCTCTCATGCTCAAATACCTACAGTCACACCAAAGATTCTTTCCTTGCCCCAAGGGAACCACATACGCAAGGTCGCCACTGTCCAGGCGAATGCCCACCGCCTGTATTCCAGCAACCCTCCATAGACCAAGAGCAACACTGAGGTAGTTGGGTACTCCCGATAAAATAGTCTCATACGTGTCGACAAGTGCCAAGAAGGTGGTAGGGAACGCCTGGGCGTAGCGGATGAAGGCCGCCAGTTCTCCATCGTTACAGCAGTTAACCTGAAGATCCATTCTTAGACCCCATGTCCAGGTGGCCTCCTCGTCGACTAACTTGAAAGCCAATAGCATCACACAACTCCTCACGAGCACTGATGCATGCCTGTACAAACTCATGCGTGTTCACTTTGGCAGGGACAGACTGAGCTGAAGCAGAAGACCATGAGCATCCACTGTGATTGCTTCTCCTACGATCAGGTGATTTCCTAGTCTCCTCATCGAGATCATCTAATGAATGAAAGCTATTTACAAAAGCATGAGCATGCGTGC